CCCCCTTCCCCCCCACATTAAGATTCTCTTTCCAGGGCACTGCTCCAGTGAAACATTATTCACTGCTCCGCTGTCGGCTGCTCCACCCTCACTGCTCCAGGGTCGATGCTCCGCTGTCTGCTATTCACTGCTCCATGCTCTCTGCTCTCATGATATGATTGTCCCGAGGGCCAGGTGGGACAAACCCTACCGTGCTGCCCTCCAAGGGCTCCGCCTCTCTTGATTCCAAAAGGTCCCATAGGAAGTACGCTGACATCAGCGTTCTTCAGTTCGGCTTGTTCTTGAAGTGTTCGAAGTTTCGATGTGTCGAGATACATCACCCCCCCTTGCGGGCCCGCCTCCATTACTACTCCACTTGCCAGGACAAGTTCTTGTCACTGTTGCTCGAGCTACTGTATGAGCTCAACGGCTCGATGACACGCCTCACCCGTGCTAAGCGCCCCGGGCTATGGCGTTCAAACTCCGCGCCTATCGAAGAAACCCTAAGCAAAATTAACGCACGCGTCACGAGGCTTGAGCGCTACGGCGCCGCCCCTTGCTTCGTCCTCCCCCCGCAATCTCCGCGCGCCCTTTCTTGGACCTCAAAATTTTTGGGATAACTTGCAATGATGTTATATAATTAATGTATTTACTTTTTTTTAGATAAAAAGAAAAAAGAAAAAAGAAAAGTGTGGCTAGTCGTCGAGGCAGAACAGTGTGTGTTGGGATCTTCAATAACCTTTTTTTTTTTTTTTTTTAGGGTAACTCCAGTAGAGTCACAAAAACAAGTTATAATTGCACTATGGGGCAAGATACAGTTTGCAATTGCACTTCGGGCACCGTACCTGGCCAGAAAGTTGGGTTGTATACATTGCCCGAACTGCGATTCGAAACTGTGTCGTGGCCCATAGTGTGATTACAACTCATTTTTGTGACTCCCCTGTAATTTCCCCTTTTTTTTAATACAAGTGGAGCATCCGTGTTGATTTGTTGATTAGTTGGTTGGATGCAGTTCTTGCTTGTGTGAAAGGCAGGAAGAGCGTCAAGGACCTCTTTTTCCTACAGTGCTGCATGGCGGCACTGCGCGCGAAATCTGTTTGAAATTGCAAATTTGAAAGTAAGAATTACTATAGATAGATAAATCAGGGTGGATATTGTAGACAGGAGGACACGTACAATTTTTTTGTACCACCACTGTTTTTGCCAACCCTGATTTTCACTGCGCACCGAGCACCGAGTTTTGCCGAGTCTAAGGGGTGGACCCCACCGCCCGGCGGCTGGAAAAGGAAGTTGGCCGCCGGTTGCTGGCCAACGTCGGTGGAAACTTTTTGGCACGATTCGTGCAGACCCCACCGCCGACTTCTGGCGGTGTTTTGGAAACGAGCTCGCTTGCTCTTTTAGGAAACCCAAGAGGGTCCCCTCCCGAAAAGGAAAGCACGCACGGCCTGCATGGACAAGCGGACATTCTGGTCTTTCGTGTTGGTTTGTCCGTGTGTGACGTTGCATGCCGTCCACGGCACCGTGCGACGGTTTTGGGAGTCCCAGTGCGGCGTCCCAAGGCACCAGGCTACGGAAGCTGCAACGGGAAAATTTTTGGGACGTGCCGTGCCCTGCTCACCCGCGGAATTCAAAATCCTGAAGGTCGGCGGGGAGATACTCGTGCATATCCAGTGTGCCCGCGGTGGTGTCGTGTGGGCGGCTGTGCAGGCGTTGGTACGCTGGCGTCGCTTGCATCTCTGCCAGTGGACGTGTTGGAGGTTGTAGTGGACGGCAGCCATGGCTGGCGCTTTGAGATGTGGGATGAATAGCCAGGAAAGCGAGGATGCAATGTGCATGCTGCTTTTCGTCCTTTTCCAATGGGTGAACAGACGAAACGTGGCAGCGTTGGCGGTCGTGGAGGCAGTGTTGTTGATGCCTGTCGTCCACCAAAATGTCTCCGCTGCGGTTACACTGCTGGCGGGGGGGCTGTTGCACGGTTTTGCTCTGGGTTCGTTGGCGGTGGAGGAGATGGGGAGGACAATGGACCGCAGACGTCGTCTGTGGGTGTTGGAGCGTAGCGGCGGTCTTTGGAAGGATCTCCAGCGAGTGGGGGCTGAGCATGACAAGGTTTTCCTTCGGTTTTGCAGACTCCCACGCCCCCTGTTCTTTGAAGTTCTTGCTCGAGTAGGACCCCATATCCAGCGGTCGCCCACGAACTACAGATTGCCAATACCCGTCGGACAAAAGTTTGCATGCGCTCTCATGAGATGGGCTACTGGCGGTTATTACAGGCAGTCCTCCCACTGTTTGGGCATCGGCCTTGCAAGTGCTTTGCGCAGCAACGAGGAAGTGGCCGACGCAATCATCCGGGAGTATGGCCATCTGCTACGGTTCCCTACAGGGCAACGGTTGGAGGACGTGCAGAATGGCTTCGAGAGAAAAGGCTTCCCCGGGTGTGTTGGCGCGATAGATTGCACGCATTTGTATATTGAGAAGCCGAAGGGGGAGCRATCGGAGTGCTACTACCAYCACACTGGGGGCTTCTCTGTTGTGGCGCAAGTCGTTTGCGASCACGAGTGTCRGATTTCTAGCGTTTATGTGGGTTGTCCGGGGTCTGTGCATGATTCGAGAGCTCTGCGCATGTCACCACTGTTCGTGAATGCCACGGAGGGTAGAGGAGTCTTGGCTGAGGGAGGTCCCGTGCTGCACGACGGTAGACATGTTGGCCGCTATCTGTTGGGTGATCAAGGGTACCCTCTGCTTCCATGGCTCATGACCCCTTTTGGCCGGTTCGCTCGAACGCCGGCAGACCGAGCTTTCGATTTGAGCCACAGTGCAGCGAGGTCTTGCATTGAGCGGGCTTTCGGACGTCTGAAGGCGGTTTGGAGGAACTTCATCCGAACACACATTTGCAACCTGAAGACCATCTGCAAAGAATTTATGGTCATCTGCATTCTTCACAACCTCGTGATCGAACACAACGTGCAGATCGACCCGGCGTTGATGGAAGACAACAGTGATAGCGATGGAGAACCGTCGCCGACGCCGGCGCAGGCGTCGATTCAACCGCCATCTCCCGGATTTGAACATCGAGGCGCCGGTGGAGGATGACCCCACTTATGGGGGGGAACTCGCGCAGCATGTCAGGGACAGCCTGGTGGAGCACGTGCGCCACCACGTGGCAGTCCACGGGGCTCCTCCGCCATGCCCATGGCAGTAGTGCTCTTCTTTCGTTTTTTTATGTGGTTATGTGGGACAACCCAAATTTAGGATGGTGGAGGTTTCGGACAAGATGTTCACGCAGATGAAGGTCGGTCGGAGGACGGGGGTGTGGGCGTAGAAGTTCAGTGTCAGAATTGTCGGTCGTTAGTAGGTCCTGTCGGGTTTAGCGGAGCGTCGTCCTTCAATACAGTGAGCGGATAGTCGGCTTCCGCAGGTGCGGTTTTGTGGTAATATACGAACATTTTTTCGTGAATGTACTTAAAAAAAAGTTTACATCGAGTTTTCGTTTGTTCGTTGTTGGATAATGCACACTCCTGTGTTTTTTTATTCATCTATTTGAGGACTTCTCACTCTGTGAAGCACCATGCGGCAAACATTTCGACCACCCCAATTCCCTCCCTCAACATGTTGATGTGGAATGACCTAGCAAATTATTGCACGTAATGCAGGCATCAAATGTTGCGAAGTGCGAGATGGAGAGACGGGACACATGCATTTCGAGGGGCGTACGTAATTAAAACCAATGATGCGCAAATTATTGAACAACAAACTGGCTTCGAACAATACATGACTGACGTGATGAAGTTGCATTGAACATCCCCCCGACCCCGTCGCAGCAATCCGTCGTCCATAGCATCACACCCGAAAAACAATAGTCGCAAAAGAAAAGGAAGGAAGGGAGGCGATACACCTGAAACACGAACACAAAAAAAAATAAAGGAAAAATAAATAGCACACAAACTGTGTCATTCTCAAACTTTCACAAAAGAACTCCATAGAAATTCATGATTCCATTTTTACATGGATTGAGTACAAAGTTCGATGATGACACAGAAAGGCATTCGTCGAAAAGCATGAAAAAAGTCCGGGTGACCATTCGTCACTTCATCCCGGTGCCTGTCCGCAGACAACGTCATCATCATCATCATTATCATCATCATCATCATCATCATCATCTTGTGGTTAAAATCATCATCATCATCAGCGTCATACTCGTCATAAGCACCGTCGTCATTGTCGTCATCATCATCATCATCATCATCATCATCATCATCATTGTCATCACCGACCGCCATCGCGTTTTCGCCATCATCTCGATACTGATGATGAAGGAACAGCTACCGAATATCGAAAGCGTAAAGAAAGTCATCTAAACCCCGAGCACTAGCCTGACCAGCGTTGATGGCGGAATCGATGCACACGACGACCATCTTCTGTGGGCATGACAATTGGTCGTCACTCAAGACCTCACCTCGTCGTGCAAATACGGCGTGCCCACCAATGGCGGATCGAGGATGCACTTCCAGAACGGGATCGGATCTAGGCGGTCTGCATACAGGTCAGCAAGCGTGGAGACGTAAAGAAGCACGATCTCCCTGAGCACATCAACGGGATGGCCGCCCTACTGATTGGGGATCATATCCCCAACCTTCGTCACGTAGATCAGCACATGGCCGAGATCATTCCCGAAGAACCCCAAGCCGACATCCATCTTCATAGCAGGTGCCCCGTCCACATCAACTTCGTAGAAACGGATGGACTTGCGGGTCACGCCGTCCGCAAAATCGAACTCCCCGGTGTGGTACCTATCCCGCTGGTGGCGTATCTCGTACACCATGACGCCCTTGTCATAGATGATACCGCGGGAGAACACACGCACATCCATCTCTCTCTCTCTCTCTCTCTCTCTCTCTCTCTCTCTCTCTCTCTCTCTCTCTCTCTCTCTCTCTCTCTCTCTCTCTCTCTCTCCAGAGTCCTCTCCCTCTCCCTTCCGGCGATTGGAGCCGCCCGATTTGCCGGTCGGTACGTGCCAAAGTGCACAGTCGAACACACCCAACTTCAGAAAACGACAGCAAACCGCAGCGGACAAACAACGCATTGCCACGGTGCTCTATCTTCCGCAGGAACTGCGATTGCAGCCGATGCGGACCCCGTCTTTATACGCGTTGATCAGTTCCAGCCGCCGAGGCGTTCCAGTGGCCCCGCCGACTTTGGCACGTCGGCACTGTAACTCTTTCAACCCTTTTTTTTTTTTTTTTTTTTTTTCTCCATGATTACGTTTCATGTATTTCTGTTGTCCAGAGTCATGAATCTTTCATTGAGAGGCAAACGAATGGTCGTCGACGTGTTCCCGCCGGTGGCAGTCGACCGAGAGAAGACGCATGCATATATGTATGTATATACATATACGGGGAACGTGGCCGGACCAATTCGGTGACGCTCCGTGTATATGTGTGCACATATGTATATGCATGCGCCTCCTATCGGTCGACTCCCACCGATGTTGACGTGCGGACATCCATCCGTTCAGTTCCGAAGGAAATAATATATATATATATATATATAAGTTATCAGAGCGGAAACGCGAAAACACCGAATGAAATAAAAAAAACAATCACCTCCACGAAGGGTCCGTGCACCGATGGCTTTCGCCGCCGTCAACTCCGTTCGCCCCCCTCCGAGCGAGAACACCCACTAGCAACTCTAGAACAGTGTTGCCACCCCGCATTGCTTCAGCCACGTCCCCTATCCGAGCAGCGATTGCACTGCCCGCGTCTGCGGTAGCTTTGGCAAGGGTGGTGGCCGCTTTGTCCAGGCCATCGCAGTAAGATCGAGTTGAATCCTCCATGGCCCTCCCCAAACTCGAGACGCTGCTGCCGGCGTCATCGTTTCTCGCCTTCCCGCTGGCTGTCCGCCTCCTTTTAGCGGAATTGTTTGAGTCCTCCGCGCATCTTGTGTCCGATCCTCCCGCCGACGTTGCATCTGTTCCACCGCCCGCAAGGTTCTCCGAGGCCAGCGTATTGTCACACCTCATCGACGGCCGGTTTAGCTTCCACTGCATAGCGTCCCACAAAGCCTTCTCAAAAGAAAGCGGGAGACTCTTCTCCTTTCGTTCCTCCACAGACAGATCCCAATACGACGGTTGTCCAGATGCTTCACACTTTTCGACGATGAGCTTCGTCGTCGCTAGCATGTTCGACCACTTCTTGCGGCATTCTTCACCGCTCCTATGCTTGAAGCCAGCGTCCACCATCCTGTCATTCACCCATACATACCAGTTTTTCCTCTGCTTGAATCGGTGCTGGACGTTAGCATCCGACATAAGGGCGTCATCCTCACCCATCAAAATCGCAGCTTCACCCGCTCGTCCAACGTCCATGGGACGCTTGGCTTTGAGCTGGCAGGCGGCCATTCGCAGGGCGTCCGCCGACCGTAGTTGCACCTCCCGCACCCTGGCCGCTAACATCACTCTGCCCGCCTGTCGAACTTGCGACCATGGGAAGGGCACTTCCTTGCTCTGCCTCACCATCTTCGTCGCCCGCTTCGGAGCCGCCTGTGCCTTCATCGAACGGTGATTCCATGCGCGTCTTGGGGGACACAGGCCTTGTGTTCGGCCGATTCCAAGAGGCATCCGTGTCAACGCCCTCCGCTGGAGATGCAGAACACCGCGAGCCGAACAACCTCCCTGCGCCCTGGCTGCATTGGGGAGACCAATGCCTGCCACCCATGGGCATGCTCTGGGTGGGCGTTGACGGCATGCCGAAGCCTGCAGCCATGCTCGTGCCTTCTACGCATGCCCTCGCTGCATACAAATCGAACTGCTGGTTGACGGGCAGAGGATGATCACGAACGGCGAAACCGTCGTCCGCCCGCATGTCCCACGGCTGTGGACCACCGCGAGCAACGCCCGCATGCATGCTCTCTGGAGTCTGCCCAACACACCCTCCACCGAAAGGCGTCGGCGGAGAAGCGGCACGTGTGGGGTAGAACGGATGTTGCATGGTCGATGGGGTCTGACGCATGGCGGTGAATGATTGCATGCTTTGCGCTTGCTGACCTTGATGGGGTCTAGCATGCAGCTGACCGTCGTGCATGTCATCACCGCCGTCGAAACCGACGTCGGCATCACCCGTCCAACGTCTGCAATCCATCGCCCACCTTCCACCTCCGCCAAGGGGAAAATGGAAACGAAAGGCGGCACGTTTCGGCACACCCCTACCGTGATCGACTACCGGCGCCTGGACACAAGCACAAAGGCAACAAACAAAACAACTGTGGACAACACCAACACCCCTACTATGAAGAGGAGGACTAGAACGACTGATGCGCCCAGAAGGGTCACAACGAACTGTGATGAACCGCCTGCACGACCTACACCGCACCCGTTGTCCACAATGACAAGGACAGGACAATCCGTGACGGAACACCGCCGACACCCCCCAACAGCCGAATGTGCAGATGGAGCCATGCCCTGCTCGATCACCACGCGTCCCGGTGCGACGTGCTGACGCTCGCCGGGAGGACTGCGAACCTCCACTACCGGATTCCACAAAGGAGGACCTCCACTGCTGACTGGAGATCGCGTGGAGTGGACGACAAAGGACGTCGATGCGGGTGTGCGTGGGACCACCCTTGGAGCAAACGACGGGATTGTCGAAGAAACCGCCACGTCAGCATACCCACTTCGACGAAAACAAGCTCGCGCAGCTGCACGTCCACAGCTGAACACAGGAGTCTGTAGCACCGTTCGAACCGCGGCGGAGGCATCCGAATGCGTCCAACAACGCATCCACAGACCACGAACGTGCGACGTGGCAGCACGTCCGACTGAAGCCCCACGGCCGAAACGAGCAATGTTCTGGAGAAATCGCATGGCAGATCGATCTTCGACCGCACATCACTTCAAAGAAGACAACCACGGACAACGAAGGGCGGGAACGCGCAATCGTGGACACGTGAACGACTGGGGAGAGCGATGGACTGCATGCCTCCTCTCCGCCTCAAGTACTTGTTGTGGATTTTGAAAAAAACCGTTAATGCAGCGCCGCAATTTGAATTGCGTGTTCCCGCGTTTCGCAATGCAGCGGGACCGCAGCGGGGGACCACCTCCGGGGACCACCAACGGCCACTTTTCATTTCTCGTGCGACAACCACTTCGTTCGTGCGGTCTCGGCCTGAACCAAACGTATGTCCGTGACGCCCGTTCACTGCACCACTCGTCGACGGCCTCCGATGCCAACGGCTGGCGCTTTGCCCTCCCTACCCTGTTGGAGGGCGTTTTGGAAAACAGCGCCGGCCGCGAGCGGAGACTTTTCCATCCGCCAGCCATGTAGAAACACGGCTGGCGGTGTTTTGGCAACGGCGGTGGGGTCTGAAATCGACTTTGCCAGACGTCTGCAAAACTTCCTGGCTGGCGGTGTTTTGGCAACGGCGGTGGGGTCTGAAATCGACGTCGCCAGACGTCTGCAAAACTTCCTGGCGGCCCGGTGGGGTCCGAAATGGCCCTTCCATGCCTTTCCAGTTCCAGCCGCCGGGCGGTGGGGTCCACCCCTAAGTTCCGTTTTGTTTCTTTTGTGGTACTTTCCTATAAAAAAAAGAGAAAACACGGACAGACTTTCGAAAAACGACGCACTTAGTGCCAATGGACTGTGATAGTCCTCTGGATACCCCTGATCGGTATTTGCTGGCTCTATGACCAACACGGGTGTGAGTGTGAGCGCGAGTGGGTTGTGTGTGGTGTGTGGGAGAGTGTTGGCCATAGCCTCTGCTGCTACTTGATGAGGGGTGGGGGACGATGAGAAAGGGAGGCGCAGCTACTGGCAAAATGCTCGGTCTTTGCGTTAGCCGGACCCCCACCGGCAGCCCCACCCCATTCCTGACTACCGCTGTTGGGGCGGGGGGCAACATGAATTACCTCGCTTGCGAGGCCCTATGCTTGCA